CCAAAAAAAAAGAAACATCATAAATAAACTAAAACTATACTCTTTCAATACTAATACAAATAAGTATATTATAAATATATATAGAACTATTATATTAAACTATATATAATCCATATTATAAAGGAAAAAAATAAAGCTTCTCATATTGAGTATTTATGCAAGTAATTTACTATAAAATCTCATGCAATTGTATAAACTTTTACCTTCTCACAAATACAAACACAAACATAAACACAAACACATGTGCACTGACAATTGCATTTGTGTTCCATTTATCAATGTAGCAGCAAACCAACAACGATTTATCAAAATTTAGAAGAAAAACTTTATATTTTTATGTTACACTTGAGTTGCAATTTTTATTACCAAAACAAAAAAAAAATAAACAAATGAATAAACTTCACAGAAAAAAAAAACAAAAATAGTAAACAATTCCAGAAACCGAGGAAACGCATATACGTACACACACATTTCCCATTTCCAGTTGTCTATACCGAAAAGTATGCAACAAAGTTTAAAAAATTGCAAATATGAAAACAAACCGAAGAAAACTTGGAAAACGCATTGCATTTTTGCGCAAATGCAAGAAAATGTGGAAAAACTATAAAAAGATATATAGTATGAGAATATATAAAAAGTTTATAAAAAAGGAAGAAAAAAAAAAATAAGAACGATAGTGATAAATACATTTTGTAGTGGAAACTTAAGAAAAATTTTTATAAAAGTTTTTAAGTATATTATAGAAAATTTAATATTTCTACTTATTTTTATATATACAATTTGAAAAATATATGAAACTGTTTAGTTTTTATAGTTTGAATAAATGTTTATTATATTTTGGTATTAATAATTTATTCATTTTCTTCCTAATAATTTTGTTTTTGAAATCGGCTATATATCTTGCATATATGTAGCCCGCTTCAGAAACGAAATTATTAATAGAAATTTTGGTCATTAAAAAAATAAGCTATTACTTTTAGTACTTAACCTCAATATGAGAGTACAAAAACTAAATCTTTTGTATAGATTTATTTTAAACATAGGCTTATTTCTCTATTCTTATTGTTATTCTTAGTATTTATTATTT